AAATTCAGGTGTGTGTGCGTGCTAGTGGCTAAGTGAGTGGCCGAAAAGAATTTACGGCTAAAAATAACGCACGCAATTAGACAACTTGGAGGTGGAGGCCCGGCGCCCATGGGCGCAGAGTCGATAAGAAGGCCGGGCCGCAACTTCCCCCAAAAGCAGGCGGACAAATTTCCTTGTGGGGAGCGGGAAGGGTTTAGACTCGAATTTCTGTTTCAAAAACCGTCAAAAGCTCCAGACTGCGAAACAGCTGTTTTCCCGCGCCCGAGGCGTGCGCTCATCTCGAGTGCAAATATTGACACGAGAACAGATAAGTCCCACTCTGTTGTGTGTGTGTGCAAAGAGAGGGAGAGAGAGAGAGAGTACAAACAAGACCTCACGAAGGAAACCAACGTACGACAACAACAACAACAGCAACAGGAGGGAGAGAGATTGATTTGTTTGCCATTCGAGGTGTGACGTCAATGCTCTGCTGCTGCTGGTGCTGCAACGAGAACGGCGAAAAGAGTCAACAGAAGACAAAAAGACTGACATGATTGAAAGAGACGACGCAGAGAACAGATCTGACAGCTGGTGGACAAGTTCAAGGTGGAAAGGCAGACGTGGGAGCAGCTCAGAGACTCCATTGCCGATCTCTCCCCTGTTATGCTACATATATGTACATATATAAATACATATGTACATATTTAGCTGCAGTTTCCGCTCTGACATCTCTCTCTTTCTCTCTCAAACTAACTGTTTATTTGTGAAACTTTGATTCAGCTTCAATGTCTCACACCCACACACTACACCTGCTAACTGTGCGTGTTTATTTATCGAAATGAAGCTCATCTCACATTGTGCGCTACCTGTTTCTGACTATCTGGATAGTTTACGTTCCTGAAGCTTTTGCAACAATTTATGAATCATTTGCTTGGGCCATTTAGCTACATATGTATGTACATACACATACATATGTACATATATACTTTATACAAACAGAGAAACAAACTGAAACACATACCCCTGTGAATTTGACTTGTAGTTAATTACTCGATATTTGTTTTCGTAATTATGAACAAGCGCGACACAGAGAGAGAGAGAGAGAGAGAGTGACAGCTCTTTCTGTTTTGGTCACGAGTAGCGCTTGAATATTTTTGCACAAATTTCTCATTGGAATTCAGCCCTGAAAAAACAAAACAATGAAAACATAAGCACCAGCGCAGGGCTGCATTGAAAGCAGCAGCAGAGGTGTATGCGCAAGAATGCGAATCAGCAAATGTGGGTACAGGGGGAATGGGGGAGAGAAATCACCATCAGCCATTAACCATTCCGAATGATCAATCAGCAGACATTGGGAGATTCGTTGCGAATTGAATAGTATAGTAGACTTCCCTATGACAGCAGCTCTCTGGGCTATGAGTAAGCAGCGGAAAGATAGACGGACGGACGGACGGACCGACACAATCTTATCAGACAAGCACTCGCTCCACTCCACTGATAGACACAAAACACGAAAAGCAGAGCCAGAGGTGGCTTCTCACAGCCAAAAGTAATGGGGCAAACTGTGGAAAGAGAGCACCGGAGACAGAGGGGGATAGAAAAAGTGAAATTTCAAATAAGATGTTGGAATAGGTACAAGAGCTGACTGAACTGAAGGCCTCGCAAGAGCACAACAGAAACGACTTAACTGTTGTCTCTCCGTCATGACAATATTTAAGCACACACACACATGCAGGAACAAATGCAAGCAGCGGACCAACACAAACACACGCACACAGAAACGAGTTTAATTTTTAATGCGATTTATTTGCCATACTAAAAAAAAATTGAGGCAAAATCACGACTCGACAAACGACAACGACTAGTACGGGTGTCTATCGGAGTTGGGATCTGATCACCCACTTACCCGTTACATTGCAGTGTGTGGGACTCCACATGGCACCCTGTATCTCGCTGCGGAGTGTTGATGCACTGAAAATTGTTTACTTTCCCAGGACCTTCTTTCGACCAATGTGACGCCTATGTCCTATGTTTTAGTTGTTGCCAGCGTGTGTTGTCGTGTGTTTGTTTTCTATTTTTATGTACTGTCACACAAAAATAACAATGGCTGGCGTTAGACACATCCACAGCAGAGCACACGATTTGTCTTTTTTGTTTTTGTGCTGCCTGCACGCACCACGAAACTGTGGAAAAATGTAAATTTGTTTTTAAAGTGTTAAAAAAAAAGGAGAAAGGCAAGAAGGCGCAAAGACACGCGTGCCCGACCGAGTGCGTTTAAAAATTTTTCGGAATTGAATGTCAATACAATAAAGTGGTGCGCAAGCACCGATCACACTATCGATTGGCCACTATCGTGCATTGGGTGCGCAGAGCTGCTTTTGACTTATCGATACATTTGAAACCATCGATTAGCGACTAGCGGCGGATCAGATCCTGATCTTTCGGCGGCTAACTTTGTAAATTTGTGTATATTTTTTTGTGTTGTGTTTAAACCAACCCGTAAAATGGAACCCATGACTCTAGGCAGTCCCGTCAATAGCCCCAACAGCAACCAGGGCCAGTACCTGCCCCCTTTCCTAATGGGGGATCCACAGACCATGACGCCGCACAAGAGCACGCTCTCTCCAAAGCCGGGACGCTACAACGTCAGCTTCGGTAAGTGGCCTCGAAGTTCCGGCATTGATAAACCCTAACTTGGAGCTCTTCCCCCCTTGCAGCGACATCTCCAACCAGCTCATCTTCGCATGACTTCAACCGCTCCGGGATCAACACGTTCTTCGGTCCGGCAGGTGGCGGTGGTCCAAATGGGTCCGGAGGCCATGGCTCAAGCTCGGGCAACGTGTCCCTCCACCAAGCCGGGCCGCCGACCCAAGGACTCTTCGAGTCGCTCCGGGAGCAGCAGCACACACCGCACCGCCAGCATCTGAGCATTTTGAATCAGTCGCAGAACCTGAGCCTGAACCTGAACCAGAGCTACCACAACAACGACTCGTACGTGGCCAACTGCAATACCATCAACGCATCAATTCGGGGCCTCTCCTCGCCGATGGGCGCCAGGACGTCGCCCCTGGTCGGTTTGCAAGGCAATGGCGGTGGCGGTGGTACCCCACGGCCCGGCGACTTCTGGGTGACCATTTTCGGCTACGTGCCGGGCAACAGCTCCATGGTGCTACAACACTTCACGCTCTGCGGGACCATTATGGAGGTGTCGCATGCCCCGAAAAACGGCAACTGGATGCACGTGCGTTTCTCCTCGCGCATCGAGAGCGACAAGGCGCTGAACTTCAACGAGAAGGTGATCGGCGGCAACGTCATGGTGGGCGTCACCCGGTGCACGGACAGGACTATTGTCGACAAGGAAAACTGCAATGCGTCGTCGTCGACGTCGTTCAACGGTGGAGAGCAGGCCCAGAGCCCGATATCACCCAAAATCCGTCCCTTTGTCCAGCAATCCTACAAGTTGGCCCAGAATGATGCGAAGGTTGTGCCGGCCAAGGACGTGCCCACGAAGAGCAATGGGCTGGTTGACAAGGCCATGGATCTCCTCTTTGGCTGGTGAGGCGCTCGAGCAGGAACAGCCCCTTCTCGGCTCGGATGCTCCCCATCCAGATCTTCCCCAGAAAATGCACTCTCCACTGGAGTTTTTTTGTGGCCAGGAGACGGCCCGTTCCTTTAACTTATTTACTTCTTAAACACTGCGTAAATCCTATACTGCATACATACATACATATTTAAAAAAAAGATACAATAGAAGTGTGTATTAACTGCGCGGCGGCGGCGGCAACGAAGAGACTACTACTGCTCCTTGGGATGTGGGATGTGATTTTTCTACTTGGGCTCGAGGTGCGCCGTCTCGAGGTTCTTCATCTTGGGATAGCTGATGGAGCGGCTGTCGAGCTTGGACTGGGCCCAGAGGATGACCTTCAAGAGGAACATCATCTTTGGCGTGGAGTCCTCGCTGTGCTCACACCGCAAGATAGCCGAATTGAGCTCGCTGGCGATCTTCTGCCGATAGGACTGCTCGAGGAGGTCGGCGAAGGGACTCTCCTGGGGCTTCTCGAAGGCCAGCAGGGCCAGGGTCCGCTCCAGCTCGAACATGGCCTCCTCGCCGGACTCCGAAAGCTTGCTCTGGGCGAAGGCCAGGGCCTCCTCCACCTTGCCGGCGCGAATCAGCTCGATTAACTGCAGCTGCTGCAAGTGAAAGAACAAGTAGCGGTCGCCGCCTAGCAGCTCGGGATGCAACTGATTCACCAGGTGGGTGGCCTCCTCGACCCGGCCCGCCTGCACCGCCTCACGAATGAGGATGCGGTCGTCGAGGCTGTTCAGCTCCACGCTCGGCTCGAGGTCGGCTTCGTGCTGGAACTTTTCGGCAGCCTCCTTGAAGCCCTCTGCAAGGGAGCAGCCACAGGCGAAACGGGAAACGGAATGAAACGAAACGGGAGAAAACGAGAATAATCGATGCAGTGGTACGAGCACGGCACAAAACGCGTGGGCGGGAGTTATGTGTGGGATGTGGAATTTAGATGCGATGCGTAGTTTCCTTTTCCTTACCAGTGACCAAGTAGTTCATAATCAGGCGATTCATGTCCGCCTGCTTGAAGGGGAACTGCTCCAGGCGCTGGAGCCATTCCTCCTTGCTGATGGCTTCGGTTTTCTCATTGTAGCTCATTTTCTTGCTTTTGCGTATCTTCACAATTTTCAGGCCGTTGCTGGCTACCGTCGTTGGCTGTACGTAAAGCCCACTGGATCTCCTGTTGTTCTCCGGGGACAAAGCTGCTGCGGAAGCGACCAGAAAGAAGAGTGACAGTGAAAATTTTCTTTCGTGGGTGGGGGTTGCAAGCAAAACACAAAAGAAAACCTAGGTCGGGGCTGGCAGTGCAGACTGCACTGCGCAGAAACCAGGTGGCCACTCTGGCCGCGCAGCCTATCGATAGCTATCGATTGATGGAGAAGGAAGTTTGAAAATGTCACCGCTATTAAAGTCACGGCCAAAGAGACTACCAAGCTTCGGGATTCCTTCTTCCTTTGCGCACCTGCTTTTGTTTATTGTTGTTTAATGCTACGTTCTAGTTTTTTTTATTGTGTACGATTTATTCTCTGGTAGACATTGTTGAAATACTCTAGCGTCGCAGCCACCCTCTACCACAGAAGGGCGCCAGCAACCTGAGTCAGCCTCAGTTCTTGCGATTGCCCCTGCGCCGCATGGTGGCGGTGCACTTGGGGCAGAACCACTTGCCCTTTGGAGGCTGGGTGATGCCCACGCAAGGATAGTGGAACCACTCGAATGGACAGGCGTCGTTGTCGCAGGCCACCATGTCGCCGTATGACACCTGGTTGCAGGTGCAGTAGCGAGGCTCGTTGGGATCGTACGACCACTCGCCTTCGTTCGGCTGTTCCAGGACCATTCCAATCTCGCCGATGTTGAGGTTGGAGCCCGGCACCAGCGTCGTGGAGGACAGACTGATGGCCGATGCCACGTTGCTCACATTAGTGGCCATCGTTGTGGTCACGTGACTGGCGCTCATGCCGCCAGCGGCCTGCGTGTTCAGGGCCTGTGAGCAACCATGCTGAGGCATACCCATGCTGGAAATACTGGCGTTGGCAACGGCGGCTGCTGCGGCTGCGGCAGCAGCAGTCGAGAGCATGTCCACGGAGTCCACGCTCATGGAGGAAGACGAAGAAGCAATGGAGTTGCCCGAAGAAGAACCGGCCAGAGCCGTCTGCACAGCAATTGAAGCGGGCATCGTGGCAATGGTGGCACTCAGCTTTTTCTTATTCTGTTTCTTGTCCTGGTGGTGGTGATGGCTGTTGCTACCGTGGCTGCTGCTGCTGTGGTGATGATGGCTGCCGTGATGGTGTTGTTGCTGCTGCTGATGGTGGTGGTGCGATGTGGCGGCGCCTCCTCCGCTCGCTGCCGTGACCAGTGCCGATCCCGTACCCACTGTCGCTCCTCCCGTTTGCAGGCTGCTCTGTCCGGCGTTCGACCAGAAATCGGTGTTGGTCCCAGCCCCATGGATGGCCTCGTAGCTGGCCTTCAGGCTCGCCGTGCGCCGCCCCTGCTGCATCTGCTGGGTGGCGACGATCGCCTGGCTGGCGGCGGCCGCAATGGCGCTGGAAGCCGCTGTTCCTCCGCCCAATTGCTGCAGATTATACGTGACTGTTGTGTTGTTTTGTGTCGTATGCGAACCGTGTGCGTGGCTATGTCCATGTCCATGGCTGTGGCTGTGGCTGTGAATGTGGGTTTGGTTGTGGCCATGTCCGTGGCTGTGTCCATGGCCGTGTCCATGCCCATGGGTTGAAGCTGCTGCTACTCCAGTCGATGATAGGGCTGCAGCAACGGCCACCGCCGAACTGTTGATCACACTGTGACCCGAGTGACCCGAATGACCCGAGTGCTGGCTGAGATTCGTTGGCAGCTGACGTTGGACCACTGAGGCGCTGCTGACCAGCGAGCTGTTGCCCAGACTGCTGCTGGCTGCCCCAACCACACCGACACCTCCGATACCTCCGACACCTCCGATACCTCCGACACCTCCGACACCCCCGACACCTCCGACACCCACGGCCACTGGCAGTGTGAGGTGCGTGGCGGTAATGCTGTTGGTTACGTGGTTGCCGGCCGCCGCATGTGCGGGATGAACGGCCAGACCAGCGGCCGCAGATGTTGCTGCCGAGACCGAGGATGAGGCGGCACTAACGGTGGGCAACGAGTGGTTGAGATTGGCCCGCTTCTCCGGTACGGGCACGGTGCAGATCGTCTCGCGACGCTTCTCCAGCTTGCGATGCCGCTGACTGCTACTCAGATGGGAGGTGGCAAGGCTGGTGAGGGCGCTGCCGCCAGTGACGGAGCCAGAGCCAGAGCCAACGCCAGAACTGGCGAGGCCAAAGTTGGTCGGTCCCGTGCCAATACTGCCTGTGCTGGTGATGATTCCGGCGGCACTGTTAATGGAGCTGGCCCCGTAATAGCGGTTCTCCTTCTGGTTCATGCTCAACAGCAGGGCGGTGGCGGCCGTCGAGTTGCCGTCGAGCTCGAGGGAACGCCGCTCGAGGATTTCGGTGATGCCGTTGTTGTCGGCCTCTAGCTCGCACTTGAACTTAAAGAGCTCGCTGTCCAGGCGGCGCAGGTAGCGTTCGACGAGCTCGTGTATCTGGGTGGCAATGGCCACCTTCTCGTCGGCGTCTTCCATTACCTTGAAGTACTCGGCGCGCAGGCTGTGAAACTCGGTGTCCATGGACTCGTGCTGCAGCTCGTCGCGCTTGCACTGCTTGAAGAATAAGTGCGACTTTTTGTCCAGCGAGTCCATGTTGTCTGGATATCAAAGGAAGGCAAGGGATGTTTAAAATTTGTGGGGTGTTGTTTTTTCTGCGTTACCCACTCTGCACGGCCAGATCAAGCTCTCGCATTTCTGTGAAGCGGTCGCGCAGCTCCTGGGGCAGATGCTCAATCATCTCCAGGTAGTCTTCCAGATATAGCATGATGATTGTTTGTTTTCTTAAATACCCCCAAATAATAATATTTTCGATTTATGTATTCTCTGAAAGAAAAAATGCGTCTCACAGGCAGTGTGAAATATACCGAAACTCTGTCGCAAGCTATCAAATATACCGTAAATATACTGACGAAAAATTTTGTTGAAGCTGCATCATCTGACTCGTTTTTGATATTCGGTTGAATATTTCTAGTTAGCTAAGACTCTCAGCTCTGAACTCACAATTGTATTTGATTATCAAATTAATTTCCTACAAAACTGGTAAAATGTAAGTTTTCATCTTTATTGCATTGCTTATAAAATAAGGTATAAGCTAAAACGGTCAACAATGATTTCCAATAAATTAATGTTTGTACCTTGTAACTACACGCTAACGACAGGTTTGCTACATATTAACTACATTTGTATGTAATTACCGAACGCGACACCAGAAGATAAATGTTTCAAAAGTATAAGCCCCATGAAAGCGCTAGTGTGAAAAGCCTCCGTTTTCCACTTTTTGACATGCCCTTTTTTCCGACAGTATTGAACAAATTGAGATTTTGATGACAAATGATTATGAATTCAATGCGGATCACCAATTTGTATTCGATATGGCCTGGGACATGGCTTTAAGTGGCATTTCTACACGGCTTCTACATTGGTGCATTGGACAAGAAGATGGGTCCATAGCTCATCTTAAAATATACTGGAAAATACTTAAAAACTACTATGAAAAAGTACACAATTTGCAAGGTGTGTGAGCTAGACATGGTGCTACCTATTCAAAAAGAGCGAAAAAGAGAGCCATAACCGATTTGAAGAGAGAAAAAATAGCCAAAAAGCGTTTCGAAGAAAGCAGTTATGCCATCGATACTATCGACTAGATGCGAGCGGTGCGCGCCAAAGAGAAATATAGTATTTTGCAGCAAAATATGGACACTTAATGCAACTAAAACTAAAGCCAAACAACAAAAATATATTTATTTCCTTTAGAGTTTTACATAACATTTTGTCAGCACAATAAGCACATAGGTATGTATTTTCAATTTTATTTGTAATCTTATACTTTTTGCTGCTGTTGCTGCCAGGCAAATACATTTGTTGTGGCTGCTTTTGGGTTTAAGTTCGGCGCACGGCTGGGCTACGCTACTACTCCTTACCATATACCATCCATATACTACATTCTCGACAGCGCGTGTCCACGTCCCCCACATCTACTAATTTTGTCGTAAATTTAAATGTAAAACGCTTAGCATAAACTTAAACTTAACGAAAGTATTTAAAGTTTAGAGTCGTAGTCCATAGAGCTAGAGTAACTTATGCACGAGGGTGGCACGAGGGCACAGGGCACAAGGGAATGATCCAAACGAAATAGAGTCGAAGCTGCTTAAATGCAATCCAGTCATTAGCTATCGGAAGGTGCTTTGCTATCTTTTGTTGTCGATCCATACATCAGGGACTGGGGCTGGCAGAAGGCTGCAAACGGATGCAAACCATAGAAATACTAAACGTAAACGTTATACATAATACATAATAGATAATCATTCACACTCGTCGTACTCGTACTCATACATAATAAAATGCTAGTTCCTAGTCACAATCTATGTAAAACACAGTCGATTCTCCCCCTCCCCAACCCAACCCGTCCAGTCTTCCCAGCCGAAGCGAGACCGACCTCACATGGCCATCTCGGGCATCTTTGCGTGCTTCAGGATAATCTGCACGCTCTGCGAGAACATCTTGATGATTCCATAGTTGTCGTTGGTGTACACCTTCAGGAAGCTTGGCACCTGCTTGTGCAGCAGCTCGTGGCAGAACTGCGGATACTTGCGATTCGCCGGCTGCTTGTCGTCCCATATCGACAACAGATCGCAATCGTCGCTAGAAATGCGTATTAGAATCAGCATCATCATAAGATGGATGGAAATAGAAGCACTTACCGCACTTCGTTGGTGCACTCGTCTAGTGATATGATCAAGTACTGGATCTTCAGTTCGGCGCACTGCTTATAGATATCCGACGACTGCTGTCGACTGTACACCGAGTACGCGTGCTCTGTCCGGTCTCTGTTCAGCAAACGAGTAGAAATAGAAGTAGGAGTAATGTAGGAGTAGGAGGGATCACATCAATGAGAGAGAGATAGAGACAGATAGGGTGTTGAAAGGAGTACTCACGCCATTTGTCGCATCTCGAGATGCGCATGATTCACGATGGGTCGCCTGGTGGTCAGATGGACAGTGCCAATGATCTCCACGGGGCCGGCAAATACAGCATCGCGTTCCGTGTTTAGCTTGATCCATTCCAGCATGCTCTCCAGGTCGTCAGCGTTGTGCTCATATTTCGTAGGGAAGTATTCCTCGCGGATGTTCTGCATACACATGAAAATATTGTATAAATGGTTGGGACAGAGAGGTACTGGCTCGAGGGGAGGAGCTGTACTCACCACCATTCCCGGATCGAACATGCTGAGAAGGAAGACGGCCAGCGAGACGGACCAGAAGATGTTCCGCTGGCGATGGTACCACACCTTGGAGCATATGGTGGGGGCTATCACACAGCCCTGGGTGAAGCTGAGGAAGAACAGTTTGCGCACGGCCAGGCCGAGTATTGTGAAGACGAGCATTTGCAGGAAGCTGTACATATAGTGCATGTTGAAGATCTGCGTGTTGGCTGTGGGCACCACGCTGCTGCTGCTGCGGCGTGACGGAGTTTTTGCAGTTGCATTTGGCTTTGGCTTGGGCGCCGCCCCCGCTCCCGCCCCCGGCGCCTTCTGGCGCCCGTTTCCGGGCGCCGGCATGGCTTTCTCTTCGGTGGCGGACATGGACGGCTGAGTTTCATCAGTTTCATAGTGAACTTCGTCAGCTTCGTGGACTACTGTTTCTGTATTAACATGATCTGGCTCTTGATCTTTATCTTGGTCTGGCTCTTGCTCGAGTGGTTCCTCCTCTTTGGTATCCATTGTGGCAGCGGTCGCGCCTTGCTGCCGCTCCTTGCGCTGCTTGTCGCTGTTGCGGTGGATCTGGGCCTTCAGCCGCTTGATGTTCTTTATGAAGTCGTCGCGGGCAGGAGGCTGCTGCTGCTGCAGCTTGGCCTTTTTGAGCTTGTAACGCTCGTAGTCGTGGTCGCAGCTCTCGAGCATCTTGAAGCACTGCTGCAGCTGCTGCTCGGTCTGCTTGTTGGACATGTCGGTCATCGAGACGTGGTGCTCCTCGAGGAAATCCTCCAGTACGTAGTTGCGGGCCCGCTCTCGCTGCTCCTGGCTGGCTGTCGTCGGCACGTTACTCTTGCGCCACTTCCGGAAGAACATGGCCAGCATGACCACGCCGTACATGCAGTAGGGCTTCACGATCAGTGTCTTCACCAGCTGCCAGAGCTCCGACCAGGCGACGCGGGCATACAGCGGATTGCAGGCCGAGAGGTTCGTCACGAAGTTGACGTTCACCTGGAAGGCCCAGTGGGCCCACAGGTCCCAGTAGTGCACGTAATTGTTGTCCTGCACATTCAGCACCCCAGTTCGCCGAAGCACGTCCACCAGCTTCTCCTGCATGCTGCCAGCAAAGACTAGCGCCAGCAGGATGAACTTGAACGAGAAGTAGTCGCTCTGCAGCGGATCGCTGACGTGCCGTCGACTCCGCACTTGCCGCACCACCGTGATAAGGAAGAGGCTTATCGACACGCTCAGCTGCCAGGTAAACAGCAGCTGGCTGTTCCCATGCGACAGCACGAAGGCTATCGCGTTGCCCAGCAGGTGCGACAGCGAGTAGTCCAAGGCGAACGCATTGGCCACATTCGTAGGCATCGTGTTGATGTTCCACGAGGTCATCACGATCATGATCTGGGTGGCAAAAATAATCGTGGAGAACTGCCAGGAGAGCAAAGCGCAGGCGGTGAACATCGACAATACAAATATCTGAAAGAATCGGATCAGTATCGATCATTGAGGATATGCATACGGAGCATACGGTTAAGCCGAACAGTACCATGAACAAACGCGAGCTGTGCTTCTGCCTGTGGATGACACGCCCAATGCAGATGCACAGATAGAACATCTGCAGGAATATGAAGGGGAAGGCAAAGTTTTCGCGCGCCACCGGCCGCTCGTATATCTTCGAGACGAAGCTGTGGAACATTAGATACGAGATAACCCCGTAGATGCCTCCAAAGACATTCTCGCTGAGCAGCGTCCCGTACAGGTAGAGGACCAGCAGGGTGACGCCACCCATCAGCCAAACGAACTCGAAGTAGAACTCCATTGGCTGGAGTATGGGATTGTAGCCGGATCGTACCAGGTGGAAGAAGTAGCTGCCACACCACAAGAGAAACATTCGATTAGATAAGATTAGATGATGAGTATGCGGAGTCGGAAGTGGTGTTGGGTGTGTTACTTACGCTGCAACCAGCTCGGGCAGGACGTAGAAGCGTTGCAGTACATTCACGCTGTTCGGATACTCAATGTCGGTGACGTTCTTGAGCTGCTCGTAGCCGTGCCAGAAGTCTGGACCATCGACCAGCTTCTTGTAGAACGTATAGTAAAGGGCATCCTCGCGCCGCAGCAGCGCCTCGCGCTCCAGCTGATTGAGTGTCTGGATGCTGGTGCGAGTCTCAAAGATTACGCGCACATGCTGCATATACAGGAAGAAGAATCCCGAGCCTGCACGTGAAAAGGGAAAAATCAAGGTTTACCTTCGGCTGACTTCGCTGCAATGAGGGGTGGTGGCGGGGCAAAGGCCTAGGCCGGCCGCAGCTTTTGATTGAGCAGAGGTGCAACTGACTTACCAATTAGCGCGGTGGAGAGAATGATGTACAGATTGGGCTCGCGCATCGTGCTGCGTTTGCGGTTATCTCGTTATCTTCTACTACTGAGTCGCTGCAGAATCTGTGTGGTATGTCAATATATAAATCATTATTTGATTCACAATACCGCCGCCTCTCCTTACCAACCAAACTGAGAGACACACAAAATAAAAATCAGCTGTGCGCTAGAGGTGGCCCACCTGCCGATACTCACTGGCAATTCCTCGCTATCGATTTTGTCCAGCCGCCTACTTGTGCATGAAAAACTGCTGCGGGGAATTGCGAATTGTGATCCCGGTGTCCTAAATCCATTTTTCCAAATGATCGTGATTCCAATTATTATTGGTATTATAGCTTTTGAGCCATATTTTAAGATATCCCGTTGTTCCTCATCGCTGCCGTTGCCATATCCGAGTACAGTGCCAAACATCTGGCCACACTGCTTCAGCGGGGGCGGCATCAACAATTGATTGGAAATAAAAACATTTAATTGGATTGAAAGGAACACGATGAACCGCTACGCGGTCAGCTCGCTGGTGGGCCAAGGCTCCTTCGGCTGCGTGTACAAGGCGCAGCGACGAGACGACGAAAAGGTTGTGGCTATCAAAGTCATTTCGAAGGTAAGTGCCTGTCCTGTGCGCCTCTGCCCCTGCGCATCGAGTGGGATGCAACAAGTAACCACACCCACCCTCTGCTGCTATTCCAGCGTGGGCGATCGAATCGAGAGCTGAAGAACCTGCGCAGGGAATGCGACATTCAGGCGCGCCTCAAGAATCCGCATGTCATCGAGATGATCGAGTCTTTCGAGTCGAAGTTTGACCTGTTCGTGGTAACGGAGTTCGCGCTGATGGACCTTCATCGGTACCTGTCTTTTAACGGGGCCATGGCCGAGGAGCATGCGCGCCGTGTCATTGGTCATTTGGTCTCGGCCCTGTACTATCTGCACTCCAATCGCATTCTGCACCGCGACCTGAAGCCGCAGAATGTCCTCCTGGACAAAAACATGCACGCCAAGCTCTGCGACTTTGGCCTGGCACGGAACATGACCCTGGGCACCCATGTCCTCACGTCCATCAAGGGAACACCGCTGTACATGGCCCCCGAGTTGCTAGCCGAGCAGCCGTACGACCATCAGGCGGACATGTGGTCTCTCGGGTGCATTGCCTACGAGAGCATGGCCGGGCAGCCGCCCTTCTGCGCCACCTCCATCCTGCATCTGGTGAAGTTGATCAAGCACGAGGACGTCAAGTGGCCGAGCACGCTGAGCAGCGAGTGCCGCTCCTTCCTGCAGGGCCTGCTGGAGAAGGACCCCGGCATGCGCATCTCCTGGACGCAGCTGCTCTGCCATCCCTTTGTCGAGGGCAAGCTGTACATAGCCGAGGTCCAGGCAGAGGCTGCCCAGGCTTCGCCCTTCATCAATCCCAAGGCGGCCGTCAAGGACCACTCCAGGCGTGTCAAACAGTCCAGCCAGAGGACGGCGGACCTGAATGATGTTCTGGCAGCACTGAATCTTGGTGACATGGCCAACGAGAACCTGAGCACCTCCCGCGACAGCATCAACGCCATTGCCCCCAGCGACATCGAGCAGCTGGAAACGGACGTCGAGGACAACGGGCATCGCGTGCTCGTTCCCTTTGCAGATGTTTCTTTCAGGGACATGACCACCGCTTCCCCCACTTCTGCAGCCGGCGGCGCCGCCGGGGGTCCGCTTGTAAACTCGCAGACCTGCTTCGTGAGCGGAAACTCCAACATGATACTGAACCACCTGAACGACAACTTTCCCGTTGAAGTGCAGATATCAGGGGCTGCTCCAAGTGGAGGTGGAGGTGCAGGTGCAGGTGGAGGTGCCAAGGGTGTGGCCGCCAAGCTCAAGGCTGCCCTCAACCTGCGGCAGTCGTCGCGCAGCAAGGACCTAGAGAAGCGCAAGCTCAGCCAGAACCTGGAGAACTTCTCGCTGCGTCTCGGCCAGAGTATTGACTCTGAGGCGCACCGCAAGACCACGGAAATGCTCACGGCCCAGGAGAGGAAGTCCCGCGACAAGGATCAGCTGAAGCAATCGATGCACTCCACCAACGAGGAAAAGCTGAGCAGCGAGTAAGTGAACAGATCCATGAGTGCACGAATATTCTAATCTGTGTCTGTGCCTTATGTCTGTATTGGCAGCAATACCCCGCCCTGCCTTCTGCCGGGCTGGGACAGCTGCGACGAGTCGCAGAGCCCACCGATTGAGAACGATGAGTGGCTGGCCTTTCTGCACCGCTCCATACAGGAGCTGTTGGACGGGGAATTTGACTCGCTGAAGCAGCACAATCTTGTCAGCATCATCGTGGCGCCGCTGCGCAACTCGAAAGCCATTCCCAAGGTGCTGCAGAGCGTGGCCCAGCTACTCTCCCTGCCCTTCGTGCTGGCCGAGCCACTGATGCTGGTGGACCTCGACCTGATCAGGAATGTCTATGTGGACGTCAAGCTCGTGCCCAACCTCATGTATGCCTGCAAGCTGCTACTCTCTCACCGCCAGCTCTCGGATTCGGCGGCCTCTGCTCCGCTCACACTGGGCTCCCTCAGCCGCACCATGCGAAGCATCCCGGAGCTGAGCGTCGAGGAGATGAGCACTGCCTGCAGTCTGTACGAGCTGGTATGCCACTTGGTGCATCAGCAGCAGCAGTTCCTCAGCCAGTTCTGCGACGCGGTGGCCATTCTGGGGGTCAACGACCTCTTTCTCAATTTCCTCACCCACGGTACGCATTCTGCATCCTGCTATTCGCCTATCCTTGCAAGTAATCCCCAATCCACATCCAATCTTTTACAGAATTCAAGCACTCAGACTCGGACTCGAGCTCGGTGCGGCTGGCGGGCTGCATGCTGGCGCTGATGAGCTGCGTGCTACGCGAACTGCCCGAGAACGCCGAGCTGGTAGAGAAGATAGCATTCAATCCGCGACTGCGTTTTGCCACGCTGCTCCAGAGCCGCCATCAGTTGCTGCGCCAGCGGGCCTGCCAACTGCTCCGGCTGCTGGCCCGGTTCAGTCTCCGCGGTGTGCACTGCATGTGGGGCGCCGACCTGAGGGGCGCCCTGCAGGCACTGGCCGACCAGCAGCTCTGCCCTGCCCTCCGTATAGAGTCTGCCCAGACACTGGACGAGCTGAGCCAATTCAGTTTCTTTGTGGCCTAGCAGCCCACTGCTTTATTTCCATCAATCCGCTCTAGCCCTAGCCGTCCTAGCCGAACACGTCCTGGAAGTAGTCGAGCAGTTCGTCGATGTAGCTCCCGAAGCGGTCGAAATTGAGCAGATATCCCTCGTTGCAGTCCTGCTCGTACATCTCATTCAGCTTCGAGATGTCTTTGTCGGAGAGACCACGCCGCTGGCCCAGAGAGGCGTATGGATCCTGCAGGAAAATTGTAAGACTTAAAAACAGATGGGACAACAGGATAGGATAAAAGCAGAGAAGGAATACAAAAGGAATCCCTAAAACAGTTAATGATTGTGACCCCTCCATCGTTCTATGCGATGCTCCTCTACGAATAGGTTTTACTTAACTCTCTGCTTTCCATAGAATACCCTTGATTTAGAATTTAAGCAATCGGCATATAAAGAGCGGTCTATTTTGGATAGGTTTGTGGCGATTTAGTATAAATAACTAAGGATTCAACCATCTGTTATTCCCGTAGCAAAGCCATTATACCCATACATCTATGTTATAAATCAGAGATCGTAGGGATTCTAAATTTTAGAAATCAGAAATTAATTTCCGATTTATATACAATTCGATAATAGATATCAGAAGTAATTTATTTTTTAATGTTTAATATAATATACTCCGAATTAATGGATCAAGTTGTCAGCGAAGCGGAAAATGATGAAAGGACGATATAGAAGACGCCTTTACGTCTGAGTGAGTGAGCAAACTGGAATCCTATTTTGTTTAAAATAACAAAAATAAATCGAATATTCGACTAATGGAAGCTTAACGTTGAGAAATGTAAGCTCTCAGAATGAAAGTTTTTGGCCTATATACATTGTGTCCTTTAAGGACACACTGCATACCAAACAAAGGTATTGAAGTTTAGATCACAAATATACAATATATCGGCTTTCTATAATAAAAACTAGCGGGTCCTGCCCACATTGTGATTGCACGGCTAAGAAATGAGGATATCAAACAATTGATTGGTTCGTCGATGGAGAATAATATCTCGAGTTCGGAGCTGATCTCCGACTATGACAATTTCCTCTTCGCTTTGAATTAAATTTTTGTGTTAATTTTAATTTCACTGCCATTTTTCACTGAGTGTAGGTAACTTTTTTCGACTTTGATTTTTTTGGTAGAAATCTATTTCCTGCTTTATCGCAGCTCTGCAGCTGTCCTGTACTGGGAAGCTGGGTAGCACAAGCTATATCTCCTGTTGACTGCTGACTTGCGACTGTTGCTCTCTAAGAAAAATAAGAGGAATAACTCACCAGTGGTTCAATGGTCGCCTTACCATTCTTGCTAAATGCTCGGGAGCTGTAGTGCATGACGCTCTGGTAGTCGTACTCCACGCCGAAGTTGGTGATGTGCGTCCGGGCGTACTTGTTGAAGTTGTGCGCATGCCCGTCGAGGATGTTTTCCCAGTTAATCTTCACGTATTCGTCCCGTTCCGTGGCGCTCTGCTGGTGGTAGAAGCCCAGGGCATGAAGCAGCTCGTGCACCACCACGCCGTGGGTCACGCACTTGGGGGTGTTCAGGTTGAGCACCTGACCTCCCTGCCGCCGGCCTACGCTAGACCAGCAGCCAGAGTAGTTGCCCTTGATCATCAGCCAGTGCTTATCGCCCTGCTCGTACGGCCGGAAGCGGATGCAGGTGCGTTCGTGGTACTCCTTAAAGCCCTTCAGTATGACCATCGTCTCGTTGGCAGCTGTTTGAACAATGAATCAATTTGAATCAATTCAAATCAATGGAATGAATATTCTTTCAAGATCGAATGCACGCACTGAAATCCTGCGGATCAATGTAGAAGGGTATGGCCGCCTCGGGCCAGGTCAAGCGTTCGTTCAGCAGCCCGTTCCGCAGCAGCTCCCGGTGTAGCATTATGTCGCCCTCGAAGAGGCCGCAGTGCTCCCAGATGTTCGTGTCGCTCTCCTCCGTCCAGAAGTTGAAGGCAGCACCTGAAAGAGGTCCTTCCCTATTAGTGGCTGGTATCTCCTGGTACTTCCCCCCCAGTCCCCGGACCTACTGTTGTGCCTGCGCAGCATTTGCATATTGGCGCCCCAGCGCGGTGCGGGTGGTACTGTCGGATTGAGGCGAGGGCGAGCTGCTTTTCTTACCATTCCCGCTTCAAGCTCAGAGGAGGAGCCCAGGGTCAGTGTCACTGTCAGTATCAGTGCCACTGTCAGGCAGCGAGTGATAAGCGAGCTTCTCGGCATTGTGTGGCCAAAAGAAACGCCGGCTGGGCCGCACTGTCGCTTTTATATTTGGGCCGGGCCCCAGCTCACGCAGCGCTCAGGGCGGCGTCGATTGGGGCAATTTCAATCGAAAGTACGCGTACTCTTTGGGGCTTGGGGCTAGGGAACCGCCCACGCTCACGCCCAAGCCCCAAGTCCAAGCCCAAGCCCAAGCCGCTGGATTTATGCATAACGGATTTATTGTCACTGGCGTGTTTTGAGCACTGGCTGTGCTCTCTCTTTCGGCGCCGCGTATTCAAATTGGCCGCATTTACGGCTTTGGATTTTAAAATTTAACTGGGATATTGGGTTATCAGTGGCAACGGTGTGCGCATATGAAAATAGCACAGTCACCCGATCCAAACCGAACCGATTCGCCCCTCTGGCCGGCGCCCATGCCACTTGCTCTTGGTTCTTGCCCGTGGCAGAAAGAGGTGGGAAAGGGAGGTGGCTTCTCACCTGCCTGCAGCGGATAGAAGAAGTTCTTTGAACCGATTGATGGGATGTGATGGGAGGTGGCATCTGCCAGATACAGATACCAGATGCCAGATGCCAGATGCCAGATACCAGTCGATACGAGTGACAGTGACAGTGGCAAAAGTGAACGCTAACCGCAAACCAGAGATGAGATGAGGCTTCTCCCTTTCTCTGACCCAGACCCGAATAGGTGCTGAGCACTTCAGCAGTGGGTCGGTCAGTCACTGCAGCCAAAGTGGGTCGGCGCAGCAGCAGCGGCAACAGCATCGATGAACTCTACTCTTGATGCTGGGACTGGCACCCACAAGATCCAAAGAAAACGAATCCACTAACCCACTAACGAGGAGAGAAGGCAGACGCAAAGGAGACAAAGGAGGCAGAAGAGGAGGCCAAATGAAATTCTGCCTCCTTTTCGTTTCTCTCTTAATTTATTCGGCTTCCTACGACTATGATTATTTGGCCTGCTGCAATCTGCAATCTCCAATTACCGGCGAGTGAGTGCCACACATTTCTTTCTAGCTGCAACTAGTTGCAGGCAGCAGGCAGGCAGGCCCGCAGCCGATGGGGCTGCACTTTCACTACGAAATTGCACCAAAATCTAAGACACATTGCAATGATTTTGAGAACATTCTGGTCATGGCAACTGGAAATGCCCGGCCAGCGGCGGATGCAACAACTGTGACGTACTATCTGAGATGTACTTGATCTTTGTCGAAAACTTGACACACTTTTTTCGGTCAACGGCTGGCAAAGCAACGACTCCTCCTTCCCCCCCCCCCCCCCCCCCAGCCAAGCAGCAGCGGAATCCACAGCGGAAAATTCGAGGGAAATCGCTGACGCAGTCGCGTCATCATCAGCAACGTTCAAATGCAATTTTCAATTGAGAAAGTTTAGCGGCAGAGATTGCAAATTTGAGACAAGCGCTCAAGCAGGGCCCGGCCACCGGCATCCCCTATGCAGCCGCTTAGATACATACATATGTAGATACAGAAGATACAAAAGATACAGAAGATGCATAGTTAGATGCCTCCGCGGAGCGAGACCGAGCCTCTTCCTAGAGGCGGTAATTGACTTCCTGCAAGGCGCTGAGAACGTTTGCAGTCATTATGGTTGCATGCATCAATGGGGGGTGGGGGTTCTGCAGTTGCTGTTGCAGATGCTGATCTTTCCAGTGCTCTTGGTCTTGGCACGGCACGGACATGGACATGGGCTGTGTTTGTTCTTGCTTTTTGTTTGTTTTTCACTTTTGGCCGAAGGCTGGCAGTCACTTTCTGCGCCAATGACCCAGAAAGAGTCGCTTTGCACAGCCATTGAGGAGGAGGAGGCAAGCAGCTTAGTGGCAGCCTGCAGGAATGCGCACTAGCAGCTCCTCCTTTGGGGGGAGGGGTTAACTTCTCGCCAAAAATCATTCAAGAGTTGCCGATTTCTCCACTTCCTTTTGGCTGACACAAAACTGTCATCAAGATATCAGCCAGCTGCCTCTGCTGCGGCTGCGGCTGCGGCTGTGACTGCTGCGACTTTGACTGCTGCGGCTGTGGCACATGCCAAGTGCAATCCAATCCATTCCGCAATGCAGAATCCAGAGTCCAATCCCATCAATGCGAGATCCAATCAGCAGAGGGACAGAAAGGGCAAAGACACTGGTGGACGGATGGAAGCTTAATAGACCAGAAATGTTTGGCTTTCCATCAGGAAAGGCAGCTTTCCACTATTACGGCACCAAATGCAAAGTGCAGCATTGGCATTGGCAACAGTAGCGAGTAGGAGGGGGCTGCCCCCAGAAGCAGTAGCAGCCAAAGGCGCGGAGCAAAAATGAAATCAACATCATCACGCGCCACACGGGCCCCACAAGAAACACTTGCTGTTGCAGCAGCAGCAACAGCAGCAACAAGCAGCAGCAGCAGCAGCAGCAGCAGCAGCAGCAACAAGCCAAAAGCAAACCCAAATCCAAATCCAAACTGAAACCCAAAACCAGTTGCGGCAGTTTCCTTCCGGAATCAATTATTTTTCACTTTGCTGATTTTTCACGTTCATGGTCACAAATTTGCAGCGGCAGCAACAACAACATGCAGCAGTGGCCGTTGTCAACAGTCAGTGTGTCAGTAGTGGCTGTGGATGTGGCAGCAAAAGCGGCGTCACGACTCTGATTGCCTCGTTTTGTGAGCTGCTGTGTGTTTTCTGTTTGAGTTTGGGATTGGTTTTGGTTTTGGTTTTGGCTATTTGGCTTTGGCTTTGGCTTTTTGCTGCTGGTTTGCTGGCACGCTGCAATTTTACACATTTTTCGATGCAGTTTGCTGCGGTGGCTGTTGCCTTGTTTTCCAAGTGCTTTTCCGATATTGCTTTTGCTGCCTGCTGCCTGCTGCTTGCCACTTGCCACTTGCCGCTTTAGTGACATTTTGGTCGAGTGGTTGGCTGACGGCAGACGGACGGACTCCACGCCGGACAGACCGGTAGACTGGCGGACTGGGTAGACTTTTCCAAGAAATTTCTACCGTCAATTTAACATTAGTTTAATTGGTGAAATTGGTTTTGATTTTTGTGTTTGTACCTCGGATTCGGACTCGGACTCGGATTTGGATTTGGTTTTTGTTTCTGCTTTGTGCTGCTGCTGCTGTTGCTGCTCTTTCTGTTTTGGTCCCAAACGCATTCGGCGAAAGTATATGTATGCCCATATGTGGGCGGCCCGAGGGGCCTGATTAATTAGTCGTCGTTGTGCACGCATCTGGTGCAGGCCCCACTTCCACTCCCCCACCCAGAAAGGGGTGGCAGCAAACTGCCCCATGGTCAAGGCTGATGGTCATCTTGAACGTCGGATATGATATGCGATATGGCATCCACAGTCCTTCCGATTGCCATCCTCCACTTCGGCTGGGTTCTGGTTTGCTCAATTGAATTTCTCTCAATTTCCACTGGTAGGATGGAGGGAGGGAGAAGGCTTCGCACAGCGAAACGAAACGAAACGAATCGAATCGAAACGAAAGACTTAGGCAACGAACTTGCTAGAAAAGCTGCAACAATTTGCAAGCAGAGCGAAAGTTATCCCCGCCATTGATTGATTACCAACTTTCTACTCTCCAAAGAGATTATAATATCTGCAATTTGGAAATAATTCTGAAGCCGAATGGGGCATGCAGCAGGCAGCATGCGCTTGGAGGCAGGCTGTTCAAATGCTGCCGCAGAGCGAAAGCAGAACATTTCACTTGAACATTTTCTGTGGCATCGAGTGAAGCCAAAACCACATCCACTGCCACATCCAGAGACGGAGACATAGAAATAGTCGGTGCGGAGTGCTGAGAGTACCGGGAGTGCCCCTCGTCTGACGTGCCGGCCTCTGCTTCTGCCGCAACTGCAACTGCCACAAAATGTTAACGAACTTGGCGTGCATGAATTACAGGAGCAACTGCAGCATCGCATTGCCACATCCGCCTTGCAGTGACTGTCCATTCAAGCGGCTGCTTTTATGTTTCGCTTTTTGCATACGGCAATCATTTCTGTGTTGTCTTTTTCGTACTGCTGTGCCAAATCTGAAAATGTGGCACACGGCTCTCCTTTGGGCATTTGGCATTGAAACATCGTGGCGCCTGCTGCTGCTGCTGTTGCAGTTGCTGTTGCACTTGCCTCCCAAATGAGCAGCAAAGTTCACCTTACCTAACCATCGTTCGGGCTATGGCCATTGTCTGAGCCCGAGCCCGAACCCGAGTCTGCCCCATTTTGTGCATTTTTCGGCGGCTGCCCCCAGGCTGGCCCAGGCATTGCGCATACGCCGCGTGCTCCGGCGATCAGCTGTTTCGCCTGCTGCTGCGATTGCTCTCCCTCTCTTAGATCTGGCAAGTCGGTCTCTGGGGCTCTTTGGCTCTTCGGCTACGCTCTTAGCGTGTTGACGCTCTCTTGAGAGTGAAGAGCCAAGAGAACGAACAAACCCAACATCAAACACGAAGCAGTTCATACGAAATCATCAAACCCGAAGTCAGCCGAAGCTGAATGATAACAATCACACTCAAAAAATAGCAATCACACTCAGACTCGACGACTTGAATGGCTGACGGGCTGACGCCGGACGGCGGACGGCTATATGGGAAACTTTGTGAAAATGTGGAAACACTGGGGACCACAGCAAAAAAGTGTTGAATTTTATTTCTGCAGTTAGGAAAACCCCTATTCAAAAACAAGATACCCATTCAGCTAAAAATATATGATGAACAATATATGTATATAAATACATATACATATGTATATCGTTGATAAGACGATGCAAAAGCGGGCTGTTCGTTCGGCAACAGATCGGCAACAGGCAGGCACTGCACCGCCACGGTGGTTGCTGCCACCTCTGTCGCCGCTGCCACCAGTTGCGTCTGATAACAAGCCGAATGCCAAATGTATGCCAAATCAAGTGCATTGAACTCGAGCGGGGCCACGACTGCTGCTTGCAAAGGCAGAGGTAGTGCCACTGGCAGCGAAGCCAGCTGCGGCAGCGACTGAAGCTGCGACTGCGGCAGCAAGAGCTG